AAGCGTGTCTGTGCTTATATTTCCCCAACCCCAAACCCAAACCCCAAACCCAACCCCCAATCCAACCCCAAACCCAACCCCAAACCCAAACCCAAGAGAAATTAGTTTAGACAAGTCGTGGGTGTTAACAAGGGCTTTCCAGATCTATCATAGATGGTATAATTGGTAGACTTGACTTGTAGTTAACATACTTATGCTGCAGTAAATTTAAAGCAGAAAATTTCCATCATAATCATATTTTCTTTGATTCAATTATACTGTATCGTTCTCAAGAATTTTGTTATCCTGTCTTCTAATGTGCCAATAGGAAGCTCAGTCTATCACAAAGCTATTTATTTACCTTATTATATTCTGTTTGATGGATATACCAAATCAATTATATGAGTTCCAAATTCATATGACTCCAGAATTTGCTGTTTCAAATCTCTTCTCTCCTCTCCTCTTTCCCATTATTTCTAATTGTCCCTATCATTAGATGTAAATTATTACTCTATTTGGTAAATCATATATATTCCCCTTACCATTCCCCATTTCTTAAATGTCTTTAAAATTCATCCAAACTTGTGTCTTTATCTAAGAATATCAACTTTATACTCTGAATCCCTATTTATATTCCAAATTTCTATATAATAATAATAATTGTTACCCTAGCCCATTTCATTCAAAGGAGAAATCTATTTATCATATTTTCTTTCATTTGATAACCCATAGACCAACTAATGGATTTTATTTAATCAAATTTAAAAAAATATCATCTTTTATGTTTATCTCTTCTCAATTATATCTAAATTTTGCTTTTTCAAGGCTGTATTATATTCCAAATATAAGAAGTAATTTTGATTTAGTAACTATTATTTGAATTCTTTTTCTATTAAGAAAATGTTTTTTTGATGTATTTTTTATGAATCCCAGGCTTTTAAATAATATTAAGTGGAAATAATTGTTTAAATCCTACATCCTCCCTAATTAAGAATGATGATTGAGTTTAATGCTAGACAAACAATAGAAATGTTTGTTATTGATTTACTATTTACTAATTCAAATAAATAATCTAAATATAGACTTTGAAAAATAAATTTTTTTATGAAAAGATATTCTAAAGTTGAATGGATCAGTATATAATTTTTGATAAATATGATTTTTTAATCGACCATTTTATTCTACCCATATTAAAGTAAAATTAGTTAATTGTAATGGCTCAAGTCTTGAAGATAAATTTGCCCTTTAGTATCACGATAACATTATTACTCATAATCTAAATTATATGAAACAAATTTAACAATTTTTGTATAAAATCTTGCTTAAATAAAAACATCATAAAGCAAATATTATGGTCAAATAAACTATTCTTGCAATATTAATTTTGAATTCTTAGTCAAATTTCAGTATCTTCTGTGTTTACTGAAGCAAAAGCCAAATCATTTCTTTATTAACAGGGGAATTATATCATTTATCAATTGTTTTGTAGTTTAATAGCAAACATTTCTATATGATACACCTTTTAACTATAAAGAATTAAAAATATTTTCATTTATGGACAATATTTATCCTCTTCAATTGCTGCAACTTAATATTTCCAAAATAATTGTTTCTAATTTATTTTTCAGTTACACTATTGATTAATTTTTGAACTTTGATATAAATTCTTGAATTAATTAATAATTTGAAAAAATTAACAATCTAGAATAAGCATTTGTCAATTTATTTTTTTCTTAAGATCGGCAGGCTAAATTTTCTAAGGTTCTAATTAGTTTTGCCTATTTAAAATGAATTCAGAATAATCACATTACCTATTTTAATCTATTATTCTATATTTATAATTAATGTCATAATATGGAGAATAAAATGAATCACACTCTATAATAGAGTTACTTGCTTATAGCTAATCTAATTAGTCACTCCAAATAAAAATTGCTAAATTGATATTTGTTTAAAATGACTCATTTGTTTTCCAAAGTCAAATCGAAAATAGCTTAATATTCAAAACTTATAATCTAAAGTATTTATAAGTATTAATAGAGTTTAAAAAGATTTAATATAAATTATGGATTAAAATAGTGATACTATAAAATGTCCAATTTCAGATCATACCAACGATGTAAAACTAGTATGCTTTAATGAATTTTGTAAAGCACATAAACTATATTGCATGTAATGTATGAGAATTGGAGTCCATGTTTCTCATCTTTAATATTAATAAGAGTTATCAATTTTATTTGAACATATTGAAAGTATTGAAAAAGAATGTGAGGATTTAATTACCAAATTAAATCAATAAATGATTTGGCTTATCAATACTTCTATCTTGTAATTAGAGGAATCAGATCGAAATACCAGAGATCTAAACAATAATTCCTTAATTTAGATTCCAATTAAAAAAATTCTTTCTTTTTCAGAGAGTATCAAATTCAAATAATATGAATAAAACGTCTAAATACAAATCGAAAAATCCATAACAGATTTTCAAGATTAAATGGAAAAATTATTAAGTGATTTAAAATTATCTGAATTAAATTATTATCAAATATCTAATCTAATTATTAATAAATCAGAAGAGCTCTATAAAAAAGGTAATAATATCAATAAAATTAGGCTATAAACTAAATTGTAATGATAAATATGAAGAGGCAATTTAAGTCGTTGATCAAGCATTAAATTTTAATCCAAAACCTAAATTATCATTATGGTGTAAAGGTTTGATTATTATTAAATTTCCTAGCTTCAATTTTAAAATAGCTTGGTTAATATAATGAAGCAATCATTTGGGCAGATAAAGCATCGCAAGTAGATCCAAAAGATTCATATATTATATTTACTAAAGGTACTCTTGTTTTATAATTTGAAGGTAATTCTTTATTATCCTAAAGAATTTAAAAGTTTAAGAGTTTTGAAAGAGTATGACAAAGGCATTGAAGTTATTGAGTAAAATTTAAGAAATTACCCGAACACTTGTGATTCATTGATGGATCTTTAATTTGCATGATCCACCTAATAGAGTACAAATTTATTAAGTCTTTTTATCCCAATTTAAGAATCTCATACAAGCTCCTTTAGTAGTTTAGTTTGTAGAACAAGTATGAGTGACAAATTTACTAGCTACAGTATTTGATCCACTTCCAGATGCAGCAGTTAAAGAGCATCTATCTTTAGCACAGTTCATTAAACCGATACACAAAGTCCAACTAATTCTTTAT